GCCTCAGTAGGTGTCTGTGTGGGTGGGTGGCCAGGAGCACTCACAGGAAATGGGGAGGGTGCAGAGAGGAGGAGGCCTGTGAGTGTGCCTCTTTTATATTATTTTGAGTGTCTGTGTGGTACCAGCTTGTGGCTTCCTGGCTCAGCCTTTCCTCTCCTGTTCCAGTGATGTTCTCATGCATGGGGAGCTGGCATTCTATAATTCCATCTATTCTAATTAGGGTAGGTTTTCTTTTAGGACAGGTAGCCCTCCCCTCCTTTCCTCTTGTACCCAACCTTGCATCCCAAACTTGAGGTCTTGACCTAGCTGCATCTGAATGAGGGCAGCAGGAATGCTCTGGAAACCAAGAACCTGGACCAATGGTCTGAAGGCCAGACTTCTCCTCCAAACTCAGGGAGCTGCTGGCCCTGTGTCTCTGTCATTTGGGCTGCTGAAACAACATACCACAGACATGGCAGCCTAAACAAAACTTCTTATAGTTCTGGAGGCTGAGAAGTCCAAGATCAAGGTGCCAGTTCTTGGTGAGGGTCCACTTCCTGGCTTACAGACAGCTGCTTTCTTGCTGTGTCTCCCATAACTAAGAGAGAGTGTACTCTGGCCTCTCTTCATCTTATAAGGGCACTAATCCTATAATGGGGGCCCCACCCTCATGGTCTTATCTAAATCTAATTACCTCCTATCTTAGTCTGTCCCTGTTGCTATAACAAAATACCTTAAGAGGGATAATTATAAACAACAGAGAATTACTGCTCATAGACCCAGAGGCTGGGAAGTCCAAGATCAAGGTACCAGCAGATTCACTGTCTGGTGAGGGTTCCAAGATGGTGCCTTCTTGCTGCATCCTCACACGGAAGAGAAGGGAAGAGGGTGCTTCCTTCAACCTCTTTGTAAAGGCACTAATCTCATGTATGGGGCCACAGCTTTTGATGCTGTCACACTCAGTATTAGGTCCAATGTAGCCTTTTGACCAAGTAGCTCCCAAAGGCCCCTCCTCCAAAATGCCACCACATCAGGGGCCAGGACTGTACCATGTAAATTGGGGAGGAGCACAAAACATCCAGTCTGTAGCACATTGTGCCACATTAGGTGACTGGTTTAAGCTTGAAGCTAAGTTGGATGGGTATCTGATGGTGTCACACAAGCATAGGGCACACTTGGAAACTGGACTCTGCCCTCATCCTGTGCCAGGGAAGCCACACCCAGGGACCACACCTGCAAAGCAGAGACTCTGCTGTGGGTGGGAGGAATGCATCTGGAAGGACAGGAAGGACACAAAATGGCTTTAGTTCCTGTCCCTCCTGGGGATGCAAATATGAATTCCCAGTGCAGTGACGCTTCAGGAAAAAAATGAAGATGGATCTCAAATGTGGCTTTTCAGCCTAGTGGAGGCTGGCTGAGAGACAGGTTAGGAGTGGGGGTCCTGCCGGCAATTCTGCATTGCACCATATCACGGATGAATGCCCACTTTTTGCTTACTGCCCTCCTGAGAGAGAAACAGATGGTCTGATGATAGGGATGCACACACGCAGAGAGTGGGTCTACTGGTAACAGCCAGAGGGAGAAGACACCACAAAACAGGCAGTCAGTGTGCCAGGCACTGGGAGGACAGAATATGACACTTAGAAGCAGGTGACCAAACAATTCAACCTCACAAGCATCGTACTTTGGGGATTGGCAGGGACAATCCTAATCGTTATCCCTGGACATTATGTGTAAGCTGGGACTGAGACAAACCAGGACAGCCCTCCCACCCAAAAGAGAATGAGAAGAAAAGGAGAGGGAGAAGGGGAGAGAGAGGAGGGGGGCTGTGTGCACGTAATCATGATCATGAAGGAGATGCCCCGTGTGGGCACGTCTGGGTGATGGTCTGCCAGTTGTTTTCAGAATGTCATTTTAGCCTATTTCCCAGACAAGCAAATTAGCATATTAGAAGAAAATAGAATGATATAAGCCTCTGCTACAGAGATTCAAAGCTCCTAAACAAACACAATTTCCTCTGAATAGCAAACCAAAGGGAAGTGGAAAATCAAGAAGAACCAAGTATGGTTTTCATTTGGCACATTGTTGAGTCTCTCCAGAACCTATCTGATTTCTGAGGGGTCCTAGGAACCAAAGCCAGGGAGTACTTTTGTGGTTTTGAACAGGGCAAGCACCATGAGTCTATTGTATTTGCATAGAAGTAAGTTGGGAATAAAGATAACTCTACAAAGTCAGCAAGTACACCTGGAGTAACCATGTTTGGGAAACATGTCCTGGCAGGGGCTGTGCCAGGGTGAATCTCCATTGCTTCTATTTGATCAGATGCAGCCAAGTGGGGGGTGTTGGGATTTCAGGAGTGTTCTTATGGAAGGACATGTGCTTGGCAAATCTGGAAGTGCTGGCAGCATTTTGAGTACTGGAAGGATGGTGAAAGAAGATATGGAGCTGGATATGAAAAATTGGTTGAAGTCAAAGCCAAGCTAGGGAAAGGAGGCTGTCAGGAAGGAGAGGGAGGGAGGCACTGCTCCAGGAGAATCTCAGTCAAGGATGCCAGGCCTGGGTTCCCTATTGGACATTCCCTACTGGATACCTCTAGTGGGCTCTGAATAGCAAAGCTAGTCCTTGATGTTCAGACCCAACTCTTCTGTGTTATTTGTTCTCCTCAGCCCTGTTTCTTCCTGTCAGAGCTTTTGCCTCAGTTTGTAACCTTTTGTGATTTGGTTTGAGTCAATTTTGGTCTCACCCTTGGCCAGGAAGCCCTGTGAAAGCAGAAAGTGTACCTGTGTTTAGGGGTACTCTGCTGCCCCAGGCCACGGCCAGCACAGTGCCAGGCATGGGCACCCAACTCTGTTCGTGGAATGGAAGATGGAATTATTCAAGACTCTTTCCACAGTGACCTCATCTAGAGCCATGGTTTCAACCACCACCTTGAGGCTGACCACACTCAACTGTCTGTGCCCACACTAGTTCTCCCCTCCAGAACATGCACCAACGGTTACTCAATATTTCCATGTGAAAGTGTTAAAGCACCTCAATCGCACTGAAAGATCTGAAACTGAGCTGGGGAACACATCACTCCCCACTCAGTCTCTCCTCCAGTGTTCCTCATCTTAGGGAGGGGGCCCTGTCCACCTGAACAAGGGCTGCCACTCTTCACACCTCCCTATCCCTCATTCCTGCACCTCCCATCCATCACCAAAGTCTGTCACTTCCATCTCCTATAGTCTCTGGATATCAATTAAATTACATCAGCATCTTCCCACAAGGGATGGAGTAAAGAGCAAAACTATTAACATGTTTTAATAAGCCAATCTTAAGGAACTCTCAACCTCCAACCTGCCATGTTCCTTTCCATTTGAGGACTACCACATGTGGTATTGCCTGGGTTGGTGACTTCGTTTCTCTTCCTTTCTCCTCTTTCCTTCACTTCATGGTCAAAATTGTAAAATGCTAGTTATTCTCACCATCTCTACTCAACCATCATTGTACAATGATTCCTGCCCCCATTTCTCCACTGGAACTGCCCAGCAAAAAGTCACCCATGGCACCTGTGGCTGAAGGCAATGACCCTATTTCTGCCCTCCCCTGACTCGACTTCTCTGAGCACCTAACATTGCTAAACACTCCTTCCTTAAAGCCCCTCGGCCTTTGGCCCCCCTGACTGGTTCTCTCAGTTCTCTTCATTTTTTTTTGGACTCTTCTTTTCCTTGATTTGCTTCTCTTTCTTCATCAGTCCTCTGGAAATTGACTTCCCCAGGTTTCCCAACTGGAACTCTTGCTCTTGCTCAACTCAACCTCCATGGATGATTGTGCCCTCTTGCCTGGCATCCATCGCATGACAAGTCCTTTCTCCCTCCTAAGCTCCAGGCCCACATTTCTCCTTGGAGGTGCTTCTAACACACTTCAAACACACCACAAGTAGAGCTGGAATCTCAAGGCCCTTCCTTTCTCTGCTCCTATCTCAATGAATGGTGCCAGCTCCCATTCAGCTGCCCAGGCAAGAGATTGAGTCATCCTTGTCTCCTTCCTTTCTTTCCCTCCCTACATCCAGTTAATCATCAAGTCCTGTTGACTCTGCCTCCTGAGATGCACTCAGATCGGTTGACTTATCTGTTCCCAGTGACGCTCCCTTAGTTCAGGTCCTCATCAGCTCCCTCCCACACAACAGCCACCACTTCCTAACCCACTTCCCATTTGCCAGCTTCTTTCTCTAACTCTTTGTGTTCTGCTGCCAGGGTTTGGGGAGAAAAGTTCCCTGAATGATTTTTCAGAAGACTAGTGGACCAACTTTTAAAAGAGCATTTAGAGCATTTCTTTAGGCCAATAAGAAACAGCTAGGTAGAAAACAATACTTCTGAGCACCTGTCTCAGAGACTCACTGGGCATATTAGCTTATTAAAGGTTCTGAGGAAGCTTGCTATAAAAGAATCTGTTCAGAATTGTTTAGCCAAGTATCTTCTAAGCTTCCTTGAGATAAGACCCTTTCTCCAGGGCAACCTCATTAACGTCTTTCAGAACACCATGTGCTATTTTAAAACACTAATGTGATTGTCTTCTCAGTTTGAAAATAAGAAAGATGAATGGATAAATACCCAAAGAAGACAACTTGAACTTCATTCTCTGGGCAATTAGTGATCCTCGGAGATTTTTGAGCAGGGTAATCATCTAATACCCATCCATGCAACCAATATTTCCAATTATTTGAGACCCTGCTGTGCACTAGGTACATTTCATCTACCATCTCCAATCCTACAGCAAGGCTGCATATGGCCATGGTCCCCAGGGGGCAGACTGAAGTGTAGATGGGTTAAGCATTTAGACCCAAGGCCACACACCACTAAGGGTAGGGCAGCTCATGGCTGGAAGTCCAAGTGGCTTTATGGCCACAGCTGTTTGTAATAATCAGTGACATTAGAAGGTGACCTTTAGCCTGCAGGAGACACTGGAAGCAGGAAAAGTCAAAACTTGGAAAGAAACTCCTAGAAGGAAATTCCTTCCTTCTGTTGTTGCTGCTGCCTCTCCTTTGTCCCAATACTCCTCCAGATGATGTCCACAGAACTGGTAGCCATTCTTGAGCTTGGGCCTTACTGCCCTTTCTGTAGGCCTCCTGCTCTTCCTCCCCTTAGACACCCACCAGGCCATCACACAACTCTAAGAAAATCTCTCTCCCCCTTCTTAAAAACTAGGTGCTGTTCCCCAGTGCCTGCCCAACTCCAAATTTCTAACCTGATGTTCTAGGCCTCCATTATCTGCCCTCAATTTCCACCTTGCCTTGACTTGAGATGATTTTCTAAATAAATCCAATGCTTCCATCAAGCCAGACTACCCCCTATCCAGCAGCCTTCCAGCCTCTGTGTGCTCCCTTCTTACCCCAGAGTCTCTGCTTTAAATCCCACCCATCTTTCAGGGCCCTTCTCACTGCTAACTCCATAAAACCTGTCCCAAGCTGAACCAACCAGATGTTCTCTGCTTCTCAGCACAAAAGGTCAATGAGGTGCTCCTCAAACTTGAAGATCAGGTTAACTTCTGAAAATTAAGCTAGTGAGGCTCACAGTGGACAGCATCAGCTATGTATGAAAATGACATACCTGAAGGAAGACTCATGAAGTGGACAGTTAAGAAGATAGGAAAGCGTCCCCTGGAAGAAGGGGGCCAGGGCTTATACTCAGGCACATTTATGATCCCATATCAGAAACCAAATGACAAGTAATCAAGGCCCTAATCAAATCAGTTACAGGAAACAGAAGGAGTCAACCGAGCCAGAATCAGCAATGGTAACTGGCCAACACAGTGAGCTAATCTATTACGCTCTGCTCTGGTGTGCGGAGGCAGGTGCATGCCGTAACAGACAGCAGGCAGGATGGCGACATGGCCAAGCTGCCACAGCACCAACCAAAGGAGCCACTCACAGAGTTGAGAGGCATGGGTTTTCAGGACACAGGAAGGGTTGGCAATGCTATGGAGAAGAGCTCAGGCAGCTGCCCCAGAGATGGATAGATGCCTTTCCTCCGAGTTCCCTGCTTCCTTGTTCAAATCACAAATCTTCCAAGCAACCTTCTGAGAACCCATTTGACTTTCCCTTCCACTATCAAGAAGGAATGTTCTGGGCAGAGGAAAGATGCCTCCTCACTGAATCCATCTCTTGGGGCCATTAGAGGATTTAATGAGATCGTGAGTATAGAAAGACACACCTAACCGCTCCCATGTAGCCATTGTTCAATACATGTAGGTGGTGAAATCAGCCAGTATATTGGAACTCTGCTTTTAATGACAATTTCATATAGACTTAGTTAAGTTGAACTGAATTCCTGGTGTCTAGACACCTTGATGAGGTGGGTACCTGGATCTGTTAACAGATTTTAGGACCCTAAGTAGGAATAAGCCCATTGAGCTATTGCTCTGGCAGAAGAGCCTGGTGATGCCCATCTAGCCCAGGGCATCTGTAGCTCATTACCATCCTCTAAATGCCCCACCAGCTCCATCCTCTAAGTGTCCAGCAGAAATCTTAGATAGCTTTTTTTGAAAATGTAATCACTTGCATATGCCTCTAATTCCAATTCCATTGGAGAGTATTTGAGGGGGCTTTTAATTCCTTTGCAAAGACTCAAATGTCATAAATACTTAATGAGTTGAAATAAATTGAACAAAGACCAAACAAATCAATCAGGGGTTCAAACCAAGGCTGTATCATCTGTCCCCCAAGCCCCTAGGGAAGTGGAGTTGCACACCTGAAGAGGAGTTTGGCCACATCAGCTGAGAACATCTCTCCTGATGCCAACTTCCCTCTGCCAGGCAGTACAGGAGAGCCTGCTGGGCTGAAGGAGTGCTGCTCAACTGTCCAGGAAGCAGAGGGCAGAACAGACAAACAGAGTGCACAGGTCTCCAGCTTACCTGGATCTCTGTCTGCACAGTGCATTTGACCAGTTTGAAGTTCTTCCCAGGGTTGAAGCTATTGCTATAGAAGCAAACCTTGAGGATGCTCACATCTTCCTTTTCCACGTCGACTGGTACCACCACCATGGACTCTGGGGGTCCTCAGGCCAGCATAATGTGCCCATCTTTACTCGGCTCAGGGGCTCGGACACCCCAGACATCCTCTCAGACAGCAGCTAGGACCAACACATCTCAGTCCTGTGGAGACAACAGAGAGACAGTACTGAAATGAGTGCCTAGAAGCCCTCATGCCTTAGCCCCCCGGATGCAACCACCAAGCAAATGACCTATTCTCCTCTTCCTGAAAACTCCCCTAAAGGCATCCAGTGTTCTTGGATGTTCTTGGGAAGCTGCAGCAGGTGGAAGCAGGATGCATGAACATTCAGGTATAAAATCTGGACTTGGAGCTCCCAAGCATGCCAGCCCTCTCCTCTGGAAGCCCCCTCCACCTCCCATTTCTCCCCCCACAATGGCTCCTAGGCAAGGGGTCCACACAGAGCAAATGCAGCTGTGAGAGGAGGCAGCCACAGCCTGGTTCCAAGGCACAGTGGAGCAGAAAAGTAAGAAGTGGGGCAGGAGAAAATAGCAGGAAAGAAACAGGGACAAGGGGGAGAAAACAGAGAAGAGACAGAGTTGGAGAATGGACAGCTCTGAGGGACCTGGAACAGAGAAGGCAAGAGAGGGGATATGTGGTGAACCTGGCTCTTGAATGATGGCCTGTGCATCCACAGCCTCAGCTGCTAGCCAGAGCTTTCATGATAGGAAGCCTGGATCCCCCAGGGACTCATCAAATAGAGCATACCTCAGCACACGAAGGACAATTCCCACCCTCTCTCCAGTATGTATGAAAGTGTATTCTGTAGGGTGGGAGGGGCTGGACTCTAAGATTAATCCAGTTCTCATGATAGCCTAGCTTGTTGCAGATCAAGCTATAAGAATCCTATGAATCTGTAGTTCACCCCAAATTTCAGCAAACTGATCCTGTCCTCTGGATCCAATAAGACTTCCAAGGACCTACTTTTTAGAGGTCTAAACAGGGTGTGTCCAAAAGAAGTGATGGAAATGCTCTGGATTGATGGTGTCAACTGAAGCTCCATATTGGGGTTACCTGGGAAGTTTTAAAGAACACTAACTCTGGGTCCTGTCTACAGAAGGGCCACTGAGGTCTGAACACTAGTATATTTTAAATTTCTAGGAGTGTCCTAACATTCACCTGGGGTTAGCTTAGCTCTCATGGTGAAATCTACCCTTACAGAAGAAGATCTCAAAAGATACTATGATATGGAGGGAAAATTTCTGGACCAGAAGTTGGGGGAAACATGATGGAGTTGGCCATATTAAAAAATAAATGTGGGGTCAAATATTTAAAAAGTGGAATTACAGCCTATGATTTAAAAAGAAAATTAGACATACTATGCTGGGCACTAGTTAAAAAAAAGATTTAGACAGTCAGCAGCTTTGAGGAACCATTTATTTTAAAAAGCAAATGTGTACTAGGAAGGTTCAAAGAGATATTGTAATGATGAGGGGAAGAGCAGGGCTTGTCCCTCAGCTGAGGGGCAGATGGACAAGGGGACACACCAGGCTCAGAGTTCTCAGGGCAGCTACATATACATGTACATCTTTATGTACGTATCTATACACCGTCCACCCAGCATCATGGAAATGTCCACTCCATCTTCCCAGAGACATCACTGAACACGTCCAGGTGCCAGTGTCTGCCGTGCAGTGGGATAGATCTCAGTTCCCCTTGACCTGCCACAAGAAATCTAGGGGAGGTCGTTTGAGAGGTGAACCCAGGAAATACCACTCGGAGAGTGCGGAATGTGTGAAGGGAAGGCAAGATAGCTACGAAAGAGCTGTCTGGTGAGGGATCACTTGAACAGCTTAATTAATTCTGCTGGGAATCCTAGGAGCCTGACAGAATATACCCACCCAGACCGTGAGAGACCTTGGACATTTAGACTCTGCTTTGTACAGCCATTGTCCCCAGCATTTCCAGCCAGTTCTATGCAAGGGAGAACAGAGAAATTCCTTAACAAAGATGCAGAGCTGGTGGCTTGACCTTATGGATAGTATCAGTCAGGATCTTTTTTACAAGAGACCTAAGAGAACTCTGTCACCCTCTTTCTGCCACATGTATCAGCAGGAAGAAGGCCCCCATCAGAACCTGAGCATGCTCACACCTGATCTTTGACTTCCAGCCTCCAGTACTGTGGGAAATAAACACTTGTTGTTCTAGTCACCCAGTCTTTGGTACTTTGTATAATGGCCCAAACTAAGACAGAACTCCTAGGACTCTAAAACGAAAGCTGACAGCCTGGCTTCCCAATGGCCACTGGGAAACCTGGACACCTGTAATGCTGCAATGTCATGCTTGTAAGAACATGCTCTCAAAGCTGGAAAGAAGGGCACTGTACCCATATCTGCTGCTTATACCGCATGCTCCCAGATAGCCTCCATGAAGGGAATTGGTGTTTCTGAAGCTTTGGGAGCCCTAAGAGGTGTCACCTCAACCCAGCCAGCATTCTTACCAAAGGGTGATGCTCCAGTGAGCACACACAAGACACTTCAGTGACTTCCTAAAATATCCTGGTAAGAATATGAGAGAGAATATTTTAGGAATAAAATGTCTATAGAATTCAGAGATCTCACTGGTAGGAGCTGGGGAAACTCCATCTTCAGTGTTATATGTATCTACTGGCAGGTGGAGTGTGGAAGCAGAGTGGTGTGGGACAGTTAGAAGTCCATGCCTGGGACAGGGACAGGGCAAAGTCTGAGGGGACGGTATTAGACCTACAGGTGCTTCTGTGCCTAAGCTGCTACAGCTGATGGTACAAAAGCAGATAGTGCTTTTAAACTCGAGAGAAAACAGGACACAAGAATGTGGAGCAACAGGAACTCCCCTTTACTGCTGGTGGGAATGCAGCATGATGCTGCCATTTTGGAAAACAGCCTCACAGTTTCCTACAAAACTAGACATGCTCTTATGATAAGATCTAGCAATCACACCACTTGGTATTTACACAAAGGGACTGAAAACACATGTCCATACAAAAATGTACACAGGGATAATTGTAATAGTATTACTCATAACTGCCAAAAGGTGGAAGTAACCAAGATGCCCTTCAGTAGGTGAATGAATAAACAAACTGTGGTACATCCATACAATGAAATATAAGAACTAAAAACAAATGAGTTTTGGAGCCACAAAGTACATGGAAGAACCTTAAGTACTTACTTTTAAGTAAAAATGTCAATCTGAAAAAGCTACAAAGTAGAATTCCAACTGTATGACATTGCAGAAAAAGTAAAAGTATAAAGACAGTGAAAAGATAAATGGTTTCCAGGGTTAGGGGAAAGGGAGAGATGAATAGGTGGAGAATGAAGAATTTTTATCAGTGAAACTATTTACTATGGTAGTTTAATTGTGGATACAGGTATTTATGCTTCTGTCCAAAAAATAGGAAGTACAGCATCAGGAGTGAGCCCTAGTGTAAACTATGCACTTTGCTTCTTCAAGGGTGCCCCAAACTCTCACTAGTAGATACAGATCTGTAATAAACTCCCCAAACTCTCTGAAGTAGAGTACCTGAGATGAGTCCCACAAGAAAGATCCAGGCTACCTGTCCTTGGGGTATTGGAGAACTCACCCCTCTACACTCCTCATGCTCACTCTGCCTGTGTTTGGGTTCCACCTCACTTTCTGACTACCTCTAGGACCTAACACAAGTAGCTTAACCTCTCTGTGCCTCATTTTCCCCATCTATACAATGGGGACAGGGCTACCTGCTCTGTTTTCCTTTTGGAAAGGTTGTGACAATGAAGTGGAAAACATAAATTGATGTTCATTAACAGCATCCAATGGAGAGTCTCTCTCATCACAGTTATTAGTTGCCTGTTTTCCAAAATCTTGCATGTGTTCCTGTTATGGTTTGGATGTGAGGTGTCCCCAAAAAACTCATGTGTGAGACAATGCAAGAAGGTTCAGAGTAGAAATAATTGGGGTTTGAGAAGCTTAACCCAATCAGTAAATTAATCCACTGAGAGGGATTAACTAAGAGGTAACTGAAGATGGGTAGGATGTGGCTGGAGGAGGTGGGCATTGGGGGTGTGCCTTTGAGGTATATATTTTGTATCTGGTGAGTGGAGTCTCTCTCTGCTTCCCGATCATCATGTGAAGCTCTTCCCTCTGTCACAGTCTTCTGCCATGTTGTTCTGCCTCACATCTAGCCCCTAAGAATGGAGCTGGATGTCTATGGGCTCAGACCTCTGACACCATGAGCCCCAAATAAACTTTTCCTCCTCCACAATTTTCTGGTCAGGTCTTTTAGTCACAACAGTGAAAAAGCTGACTAAAACTATTCCCATATTTTGCCCCTCCTGCCAATGACTCTCTATAACAACAACAACAACAAAAGTTCTGATTACCAGCATTTGCCAATTTCCATGGTGTAAATATTCCCTCCAAGGCTTATTTCAAGCTACTAACATATATCATTGAAAGTTGAGTCAGGTAGAGGTAAGCACAATCCTCTAGAAGTCTCCAGCTCCTCTTCCTGATAAGCGAACTTGCTTGTTCCTTTGAATGTTGCCTGGATATTTGAATTTCTCATCAATAGCCCATCTCTGGTTTTCTATAACTGCAGTCTTCTGACCCTCAATGTGTGAGACAAAAGCCCTGCCCCTTTCTGCAGACCTCTTTCCTGGCTCTTCCAGCCCTGGCTCCTGCTCCTCCCTTGTCCTGGTCTGCCTCAGACCCACTGAGTGGTGTCAGAGGCGCCTATATGCTGTGGCATTAGCAAAAACCCTGGCCCTGAGCCATGCTGGGCTCCAACTTGCTTTCCAGCCCTCAGGTCTGCCATAGTCACAGTCAAAGAATAACAAACACAAGGAAATGGGCCCAGATTAAAACAGGAAAGGTCTTGATTGGCTATAAGAACTTGTTGGCCCTAACCTGCAATGGGTACTCAAGGAGGCTGTTCAATCTCTGAGTCCAAGAAGCTTCAGGAAGAAGATAAATTATGCTCTTCCTGAATGGCAAGACATTTACCTGCCTGAAGGAGGGGTGACTGAGGCAGGATGTACATCCCTTGGAGATGTCACAGGTGCTCCTGGCCTGAAGAAGATGTTAGGGCTACAGGGGTAAACATCACAGAAAAAGAGAATTCATGCCCTTGAAGACATTGTAGGGTAAT